GCAGATCCCATTAATCATTGAATAATTTATAGATTCGACGGGGTCGCATGCAAAAATAATGTAAATGAATAAAGGTTAATCAGTCAGTTGTGTGCTAACTAATTTATTTAAAATGACGCCAATATATTTTATACTTTACTATTTTTATACTCTGTACATGAAATGTACAAGAGTATATTAGGTTTGCGGGAGCTGAAAAATGTAACAGGCAGAAGGAGGCGTGGCAGACCCCACAAAGTATATATATTCTTGATCAGCATGACGAGACGAGTCGATCTAGCCCTGTCTGTCTGTCTGTCCGTCTGTCCGTCTGTCCGTCTGTCCGTCTGTCCGTCCGTATGAACACCTGGATCTCAGAGACTATAAGAGATAGAGACACCAAATTTTGCACGAAGATGCGTTATGTGTGTATTCTATACGAGTTTGTTTTATTTTTTTGATTTTCGCCCCCACTTCCCCCCTATGGGGGTTTTCCCGATTTTCCATTCGTATAATCGCCTATATCTCGGAGACTATAAGACCTAGGAACACCAAATTTTAGTCCCAGATGCCTTATGTGAATACGCAGAAAATGTATATTTTGGAATTCCCCTCCCTCCCCCCTCTACCCCGCAAATCGTAACTCCCGTAATTCTTGGAATTTCGAACTAAAATTTTGGAAATACCCCCAGTTAGTTATTATATGTCCGTATGCCAAATTTCATTATGATAGACCGATTTAACAAGAAGTTATAGCCATAAATATATTTGCTGATGCAGCGCTGCTGCAGCGCTGCTCAAGCGCTGCCCGCGGCTGTTGTTGATGTTGCTGTTTGGTTGACTGCGAAAATGCTTACACAGACACGAATTGATGCGCATAGGCATACATACACTCACACAGACGCAATTGCTATGTAAATGTGCAATTATACACCCTTTACGTGAGTTCGAATACCGAGAGAGGTAAAATCGATCAAATTTTTTTTTTTATTTTCTTAATTTTTTTTATTTTCTATAATTATTGTAAACATATGTACAGAGTATTTCAAAGTCGGGACACCCGACTTTAGCTTTTTTACTTGTTTTAAACAAATGCATTAGGGTGTGACCTTAAAATGATTAATTTGTGACTTATTTTGGCTTTAATTGTGAAATTGTTGCTTAGCTATTTTTATAGAATATGAGTTCATTGGGTAAATAACGACACCAAAGAATTGGCAAATAATTAAGTGAAAACATTAATAATGCTAATCATTAAGTGCAAACAAGACTTATCGTTGATTTGATTACAAATTACAAATTACATTACATTAACTCTTGAGTCTGGCTCCAAAAAATTAAACCTTGTGTGATGCAAAACAAACACTAATCCAGTGTTGAATAATCACAAATATAGTAAAAGGCTGTGTTTACCGAATTAAATTGACTTACAAATAGCTAAATAAATAGGCTTCTGCTATTTGTTCAACTTTACTGTAAAAATAGTAAAAGGGCGTTGTGTTGTATTTATTTATTGCTATATAAAAATAGTTAAGTAAACGTGAAGAGCAGAACGTATTTGTGTACATTGTGAAATTTACATAACAGAAATCTGTTTTTCACAATTTCTACAAATGTCGTTGTTTATTTTTCAATCTCTTTTTATGATTTGTAGATATATCGAGTTATAAAAGAGAAAGGTTGGCTCTTAGGATAACGTATTCTCCATCAAAATGTCTCCAAATTTCAATCGAAAACAATTACTATTTCCTAATATATATTATTCCTTTAGGGAAATTGCTTTATTCGCACGTTTAGAACCATAGATTTCAAATAGGGTTTTTTTTCCATAAATCTATATCGAAACATAAATAGACTTCAAACTAATGAAGAATTATAGTATAACAAATTGAAATTCGGCATGGTTAATTTCTATAAATATATCTGACAAATAGTCGTATAAAGACAGCAAATAAGCAGGCGCTTGTTCTTGACACCCTGTATGTTCATATAGCACGTAAGACGGATGATTCTATGCTAATTTCGCAGTGTCAGCTGTCTGTTTTTAATGCAATCATAAAATATTTGCATACTTAATATGTAGACGCTAAGTATGATATTCAATTATATGAGCTATCAAGTCTTTCAAATGCCACAATACCGTGAAATCGTAATCAATTAATTTCGTTGAAGTGCACGAGAGGCGGCAGGCATTGAATCACATTTAAATGGGCATATCCATCTATAATACTATATGTATATACAATTTATTGTATACCTTGGCTATCTATTCATCCATTATTTATGGCTCAGGCTGCAAACGAGGCCAACAAATTAAAATTGCAATTTATGGCAGACAAACTTTTGTGGCACACGCAGTCCCAGTCGCAGTCGCAATCTGCCTGCAAATGTCGCACTAACCGCTTTGATTAACTGCCGTTAGTGGCAAGAGTGTAGCTACATTTCTATATACAGTGCTCGTCATTAGAATAGGAACATGATGGAGTTCCTATCATTTAACTTAATTAGCATTTGGGCCGACAAAGTGCTATGACGGCTGAAGAGAAGGCAAAAAAAGCTTTGGTATGGGAATACATGGACCTGACTTATAGAAAAATCTGAAAAACTAATTGAAAGCAGTCTTTCATTCAGAGCATGGAAAGGAAATGATGCTCTCACCTGTCAGCAGCAAATATTAGATCTGATTTAGATATAAAATCAGGTGTTTTGATTGTAATCTGAATTATTTGTAATGCAGAAGATCTGAAGAGAATGCTTCGAAGTGGAATCGCACGATAATATGAAACCTTTTTCATTATTTTTTCAATTTCTCAACCAAGAAAATAATGCCGTGCCTTACCATAAAGTCGTGGAAAAGGTATTCCCTGAAATGGATAATCTATCTCTGAAGTGGAGCATAGAGTTAAGGAACTTGTAAGCCTCAGTTTCTAGCATCGAAAATAAATGTTGTACTCTGGAGTGGACCATAGAAAATAAGATATAGAGTGTGCGTATTTTGAGAAACTTTAAAGCCCTGACATCGGAAAGAAATGCCATGGAAAAGGCACGCCCTGAATAGGATAATCTACAATAATTGGTACTTACTCTGAAGTGGAGCATAGAAAAGAAGATATATAGGGTGTCAGTAAGCCCCATTTTCTAGCATTGAAAATAAAAAAGGCATATCCTGAATTAGATAACCTATTTGGTACCATGGAGTGGCGCTTGGAAAATAATATATATAGGGTGTTTGTATTTTTAGGAATGATTGGAATTGGATCATTTATTTAGCATTCTAAAGTCGAGCATAGAAATAAAGATGTAGCACGTTCCTATTTTATGGAACAGCTAAAAAGTTAAGTGCATATAGGTTGTTCTTATTCAAGTGACGAGCAGTGTCTGCATGTTATGTGCGTTTGTTGTCCCATTTAGTCCATCACATTTCTTCGTTTTGTGCTGTTTACCGAATTGCATTTGTTCTCTGTCATTATAAATTCAAATTTAGCGCACTACGAGTATAAATCTGAGTGCAGGTTCCAGAGGTGTGCTGCAGACAACGGTTTAACGACGTCGACGTCTCATACTTATGTACACGAACTAGTAAGTGTAATATGCACAAACATAAATAAGTTTTATGTGCAGATATTAAGTAATTTATGGTGCTGAACTGCGATTTTGTTATTTCACCACCGTTTGCCATTTTGCTCGCAACAATAATGCCGTGCACTCAGGGAGCTGGTAAACAGCTGCCGAAAAGTTGGCCAGATACTCATACCACATGGCTGGCTGACTGCCTCATTCGGAAGCTTTGTTCCACTACTCGTATTATTGTGGGGGCGTCTGTAATTCTTAGATAGGTGTGTCAGTGTGTGTGTGTGTGTGTGTGGAATCATTCGACTGTGGCAGAGCACTGTAATTCCTTTGGTGTCGACACTTTTATTATTTATGTATAACATATATATTGAGGCAAATGTTAATGGATTCTGCTGAAAATCTATATAAGACTAAGAAGCTGTGGTTCAGATGGCAAGTGTCGAGTTGAAAGAAAAGCTGATTTAGTTTTCAATGAGGGATCTAAGAAACATCACATAATGTATTAGTTATACTATATATTGTTTAAAATATGTATCAATAGCCCTCATTTAATAAAAAACAAGTAAACTAAACACGATGGATAGATGTTGCCCGAACATCAAACATTTTTCATAAATCGTTAGACGGTTAGATTTCTGTATGTTTTCTACCAGTATAGACGATTTTGTTTTTAAAACTTGTTCATGTTTTTATTAAATTGTTTATCATATTGCTAAGCATTTAATATCCATTTGGATTTGTGTATTATTCAAAAGTATATTTCTTTGCTTAAATATATTTACTTACATACTCGTATGCATATATGTAAGTCAGACAGATTTAGTTAGAGTAATTTGGGAATATATCGCGGGCCCTTTTTTGGGGTAAAGGGTGCTTTAATGTAACGTTCTACCTAATTTACCGCCATTCTAACAGAAGCCTTATTCAAAATTGTTGAGCTCTACAAACAACTTTGCTTTCTGATTATTCTTTTCTTACTCGAATTCATAGTTTTAGTTCCATATATCTATCAAGTTCTACTCAGGTACATAATACAGGAGCTTGTTTGTTTTTTATTTCCATAGTTCTATCAAGACTAACAGTGTCGAAGTATATTTTATAATATAGAAGACAGGAAATTTACGTTATTTGTTAACCCATTCAGCCATTCCACATGTAACGCTGAATTAGTATTATTACAGCACTATCTTAAACACGAACTAACTGCCGTAACTGGAAATTATAATGACATTAATATGATACACCTAATGACGTTCTAGTTGCAAGGGATCCCCAACTTGATTCAAGAATGAAGCCTCCCACAGCTGATATTCAATATATAGCTTTGAAAGTGTATGCTTACGTATCATAACGACATAAGTGAGCTAAGCGCTTAATCAATTTTACTTTAGCCATGACGGCAAAGTATTTGGACAATCCCATATAATAAGTTTTAGGAAGCAACTTACCGCAGTTGGCGCGGCGGCTGCCATATAATCCGGCCTCAAGTAATGATGATTGCTGGATTGCAGCATTTTATTATAATTTGTTAAATCCACTTTGACGGCTTCGCTTTGGTAGAAGTGTTGATAAGGACAAAAAAATGCGGCTTGGATGACCGATAGAGGTGGGAGTGCTGCCAACTTGTTTGCGGAGCAGCGCTTGCGCGTGCGCTTTTATGGTTTCGTTTGGGGGGAGGGGGTAGGCGCTTCACTCACAGATGTTTTTTTTTTTTTAACCGATTACTGATTAAAACGTTGCGGCTGTTGATTTTAAAACTTCAGCAGCTTAACAACTGCATTTGTGATTTATTTCACGTTAATAATATAATTTTGTTGCATGCGTGTTTTTATTGCCGATTGTGCATTTTGTTTTTGTTGTTGTTGCTGTTGTTGCCTCTACTTTCACGGCATCAGCATTTTTGTATTTCAATTTTGATTTTTTTTTTTTTTTTTACAACTTTTGTCGTGGTGCTGGCTTCGCTTTAATTGAGTAATAAATTCATGAATATGTATAATGTGTATTATAATTCACTATATTTACTATACGGCTTTATATAAGTATATTGTGAGCTGGCTTCCGACAAATGCCACATAAATATATACTATACGTGTATGTATTATATATGTACATATATTGGCGCGTTATAATTATTTACGGCTTTGCATTGCATGGCATTCGGAATCGTTTCGCTTAACGCATCGCTGCAGGTCTCTGCAGTTTTTGCCTTTTGTTCAAATATTGCGAATATAATAAATATATATGATGCGTTAATAAGAATATGTGCACAATATGTGTTTTATATTTGATGTTGTTGTTGTTTGTTGCTGTTTGTTGTTGTTGTTGTTGCTGTTTGTTGCGCTTTGCTATTGAATTACTTTCTTTGGCTGTGCCATTTGGTTTTGTGGTTTGGTTTTTGGTTGAATGCCTCGTTTAGGGCGCGTTTATGACGAGGCACGTACGCGTTTTATATGACAGGCGGGCCGACTGGCTTGCTGGCTGTCAGTGAGGGTGTGTTGACTGCTGCTATAGCTATTGTTGTTGCTGTTATTGTTATTGCGCTGAACTTTGCTTTCCTTTGTTTATTTTCGTCGTAGACGTGTGAGCGTGACGCGTAGAAATTTACGATTTGATGTCGCACTGCGTTGACGGGTCTTGTTGATTTTCTTTTTCCCCACTGTTTTTTTTTTTTAGCACTTACTTACTTTTTTATGCGCGAATTATGATTGTTGCATGTGTTATCGAGTGAAATATTTGCGAAATGTACACGCTGTAGAATTTTATTTTATGATATGCAACAGAAAATAAGCATCATTGGATTTGTGAATTGGATTTGATATTTAAGTGTTTAGTTTTATGTAGTTTTCACTTTTTAATTTAGTATTTCATTCAAGATATATTTGTTATTTTTATTCACAAATGAATTGCCTTTTAAAATGTATTCAATTCTTAATCATTCACATTGTTGAATTTTGATAAATTTAGATTTTTATCACCAAACCAGCTGCTCAGTCTCTTCTGTAAAGCACCATTTGAATCACTCGAATTTCTATATATATTATGATATCATTTCTTTGACTGCATCATCAGTACAATGAATGCCACACTGCACAATTACTCGTATTTGCATTTGCATTTGCAGCTCCAGAAACACGCGAATTTTCACACGCTCGAGACGGAGAATCGAGCACACAGTCCGTTCGTTGCGCACGGTACGTACTTTTACGTGAAATAACAAAATTCGACTAAAAACCTATAAACAACACTCATGTGTTCGACACACACTCACACACTTGCAATAGTTGCTGTGAGTAGTTCGTTCGCTCGTTCGTTCGTTTGTTTGTTCTCCCGCAAGCTCCAACAATTTGAATGAGTGAGTGCGTGTTGTTGAGAAGCGCTCGCGTGAGTGCACGTGAGCTCTGTTAAATGATTGCGGCAACACTAAAAAAATAATGCTAGCCGTGTTCAGTTCAGTATTCAGTTCAAGGCATTCTGTGCTCTCTCATTGTTGTGGCCGTTTTCATTTTCAACAAGTGTGCTTTTTGTTGTTGTATTCTCGAGTAGAGTGCCAAGCAGCGCGCTCCAAAAACAGCATTTGAGCAAAGTGGCAGAGAGAGAGAGAATGAGAGCACAGCAATAAGTTCGCTCTTACATGAGCGCGCATGCTTGTTACTGAGAACTGCAGAGCGAGAGAGTGAGAGTGAGAAGGAGAGGTGATAAAGCTTGCTCCACTTTTGCACAATAAGTGAAGCGTAGTAGATTTCATTTTAGTAGTATGCTGGGTTGGAGGCGGCAAGGTTGGGGAGCCTCGTCGACTTTTCGAGAAAACTTCTATGAAATTTTACAGAAATACTAAATTAGCTTATTTTGGATTTTAAAACTATTTTAAACAAAACATAATAATGACAGAAAAACGAATAATAATTAAAACTAAAAGTTTGTTTAATTTCTGTTCTATAATAATATAAATATTTATTCATATTATTATTATTATTTTTGATACCATTTTAATATTATTATTAAACACTTGTGAATAATTTAAGTTAATTTGCGACTTCAAAGACATTTGCCGCAACGCCCTGAAAAAAAGAAAACTATCAATTTGATGGAATTATTCACAACGCCTCCGAGAGCATGTCATGATAATTACGTACATCAACAACAACAACAACAACAACAGCAACACTTCTTCATGCCTATGCTTCCATCTAAATACGTGCATACATATGTAGATGTATGTATGTATGCTTGTAAGTGCCTGTAGCTCATTGGATGATCGAGGCTTGTGTGTAGCCATTTTGGGTAATTTGTGTTGCTGTTGCTTTTGCTGTTGTTGTTGCGGTTGTGTGGGATATCGTGAGCGAGCGTCAGCCATAATTGTTTACAAATGTTTCTGTGTGAGTGAACATCTGCATGTGCCTAGGTGTGCGTTTGTGTGTGTGTGTGTTCGAGTGTGAATATATATGTATGTATGTATAAGAATGCATTGGTCTGAGCAGGTGGGCGGGCGGTGGCAAATGAATGCGTTGGAGAAAATGTTTTCAGAAAGAATTACATATGGGCTTGAGCATAAATTGTGGAAAAGAGAACTCAAGAAGGCGCTTACACAACACAGCAACAAAGTTGAGAGGAGTGGGAGTGAGAGCAGAGAGCGACGTTGTTGTTGCGTTTGTTTGCAGCATTTGTCCCGAGCTGTAAACAGAAAACAGCTGGTACCGACAAACCAATAAGTTGCTGAGTGAGTGGGCTGAAGACCTACTCGTGGCTGAGCAGCATTCTCCGCCAAATGCAATAGATTTTCATAAACCACAATTTATTACTATCCGGTTGCTACGTACATGTAAAGTAATGAACCAATTGAGATACATGTTCGTAAATGATAGATAATAGATGATAGTAGATAATAACTATTTTATATTGTATTGTGTTGTATTGAGGTTTAAGTATTGGAGTGGATTTGAAAAACGATTGTTTTACACAAGGGCGTACGCAGCTTTATCCAAAGAAGGGGACCAATAATTAAAACTTTGATTAAATAATGAACCATGTGTTCAAATAATAATTTGTGCATACGATCAACAGAAAAACTTTAACAAATCCAACACAGTTTCATTTTAGAGCGAACCCAGCTTTTACCAAAGAAGGGGGACAAAATTTTGATTAAATAATGCACGATGCGTTAAAATTATAGCTTATGCCTGCGGTCAAAAGAAAAACTTCAAATTTCAGTTACATTTTAAAGCGAAATAGTGCGCCATAATAATAGATGTGTGTTCTTGCTCAGATAAAACTTTTTTTCTAAAAATTTAGGTGCGCAATGGACTATTCCGTCCCCTCCTGCGTACTGTAGAACCAACTACAGTCTCGATACGTTTCAGAAAATAAATGTAAGTGGGAAAAAATAGGTACGATTTTTAAACAGAACAAGAACTCTGCAACTCATTTGTAACCTTTTGCACCTTTTAAGCATTAAGTATTTAAGTACTAAGTTCTAAGTAAGTTTTACTGCAACAACTGAGTATTAATTTTCCATTCTTCGTACCACAAACTCTAATGACTAGAACTTACATTTTGTTAATTTAATTTAAAATTGTTGCGCTGTTTTAAAGTTCATTGAGCATCTCTCATCTTTAGTCTAACTTTTAGTGCTATTTTAATATTCATTTCAATTTAACACTGATTCATACTTTTTGTGTTTTTGAAAATTTCCTAATTCTAAAATCTACAGAGAAATATAACCCATGGCATTTAAAAATTCTGAATCATCGATATCAAATGTAAAGCATTTGAATGAAATTTATTTATGTCTATATCTTAAATCCCACACAAATCAAAATTCATTATACAACAGCCCAAACAATAGCCAAAAAAAGAATACAACAATATCTTTATAAAATTTGAACATCGTAAAAGAGTCGTAAAGAAATCCACGCAATTTGTATTTCATTTAAATAAGCCAACAACTGTCGCCCAACTTTTTTTTCGTTCGGGCCACTCAACGCTTCCTTTCCGATAGTAATTAACCCAAAAACGTTGCAATGGCGCTTTGATGATGATGATCCGCAGCAATAAAAAACATTTATACTGACATGTTTGCCCACGCGCAGAGGCGCGTTTAGGCACCTCGAACAGTTGGCAGTTGACCAATTCGGCGATCGCACTGTTTATCATACTCATTAGGTTGATTTTGTGAAAAATTCGGTTTCGTTTAATAGCTTATAGGTGGCTCGAAGCAACAACAAAAATCTTAACAAAATAATAACAATAATAAAAAGCTCGCATGAAAATGGAAACTCATAAAACTGTGGCATAAATTTGTTTCTACTTTTGGCTTATTGACATTTTAATGGTATTGCCGATCATTTTATGGTTCCATTCATTTTTTCTTCTTCTTTGTCTGTGTCTGAGAGAAGCTGCTTTCAATACCGTTTCACAAATAAATAATTATAGTGCGCATTTAAAAAAATGTTTCAATTTGATTTGTTTTCATGGCATTCGGGCTGCTTCTGGTGCTGCTGCCAACTGGTAGCTGGTAACTGGTTGGAACCTTGGGGCTTCATAAACTGCACAATAGCATATTCAATTAACTGCTAAAAACTCATGTTGCTTACACAAATGACTGCAAAACGACCAGCGGCCAAAACCGCAAAATTAAGTGGCTAACTAAATTTACGTGAATGCACAACACAACCCATACCCTTACCCAGCCACACACTCTCGCACACAAACCGATTGCCCTTAGCGCTACCCTTTTCAAGCCTCAAATCCCACAAGACAAATAGAGTGGGATCCCACATACACACTCACACTTTGTTAGCTTTTTAGCAGTTCATTTATGACTGACTAAAAAACCAGAGCTCTATGGCGCCCTCCATAATATGGGGCACTTTATTAGAAACAAATGGGCATGCGAGTGTGTGGCTGTTGGTTGGTGTTTTTGTCATTTACTCGTAGCTAGTGTGCACTGCTTCAATTCGTTCGTGCTGGCAAAAAGGATATCATTTTATATGCACATACAGAGCTCTGTTTGGTCCTGCGAGTGTGATAAACATACTCCATACTTATGTATTTTTAATAGGCGTTTTGAGGCTGCAGAATCCAGAATTCAATGCAGAATTCAAATAAACAGAACGGTAGAAAGGTAGCTGTATGTACGGGTTCCATTATTTGGCCATTTTTTTTTCCTAAGTCGAGCATACTCTGCGGTTCTTTGATATCTTATGTTCAGTTCAATGGGATGTATAGCGGGACAAGAGGCATAAAAAGTTGCCGTTCTTAAACCATTCTGTGGAATCTGTACAGTCTCGAAAATCAGGAAAAATGTGGCCACAAACAATAGTCAGACAGGGAAGGTCAAACATAGACTAAACATTCTTAAATTATGACTTGAAATGCGCCAGAAATGAAGTTATCCGCAACAGTGCTGTTAATGCGACCAATAATATCACAGAGCAATTAGTGAGGCAAAATAATCGATGGAGACTATCTTATAAGAAACAATTGCTTTTGAGTAGGATTGATAGTCAAAAGTTAACCAAACTTCTTCTAATTCTTTTTCGATGTAATGGAAATGTTTGAACTTAAGCAGCGATGTAAGCACAATTTCTGAAACAAGGGCTTTTGGTCACAATTCGATTAATTGAAAAAATTATCATTGCATTTTAATAATTTAAAAAATAAATACCATTGGCTACCTTAAGAGAAACGACTAGACCTTATTTTGTACTTTTTTAAATTCAAATACGAATATAAATCAGCTGTTTTATTGTTCTTTTTTTATATAACGAATTTGGCTTCTATGAATTATCTCTCTTTTGCTGCTCTACA